GAGATTTTACAGGCCTTCAGGAAAGGGCTCGGACCCAATCCTCGTTTACGGTCCGTCATTGACCGAGTGATCCCGTTCAGTCAAGTAGATATCCAGGCCACTACTCGAGCAGAGGCTCGAGTAGTCACACGTGTGCGTTTGACGGCGGCTGCGGCGGCGACGACGTCGGCACCGCAGGAAGACCCAGCGGCGCCGCAGGATCCGCCAGCGCAGGTCCCGACGTACGAGAGCCGCCTGAAGGCGCTCCTCGAGAGGGTCAAGGCTAAGGAGGAGGCCAGGCGAGGAACGCCCACGCCTCCCGCCTTGCCCTAACTCGTTTTTGTTTTCTCGTGTAGTCATGTGACTTGTCCTTATGGCCGTTCTTTCTTTCTTTCCTCCCTCCTCCTCCCTCCTCCTCCCTCCTCCTTCTCCTCCTCCTCCTCATTCATTCATTCATTCATCATGAGGCGGACGGTTCGATGCCTATACAAAGAAGGGGACGAGAAGGGGTGGACAAAGGAAGTAGAGCACGTACTCGCAGTGGAGTGATGCTAATCCATGCAAGCCTGGGGTACTGCCTAAGGCGCAAAAGTTGGAACGGGGAAGGGCAGAGAGAAGGCAAAGCAGAGACCTTCGCCCAGGATGCGCGGTACTGCCAATGGCGCGCCACACTGCTTAGTGTGACACCTTCGCATTACTATTTTTTAAAGTGAATGGACACTGGCGCTGACCAGCTAGGTCAGGGCATCGCCTTCGTGCGAAGGCCCTTCCCGCACTTGAGCAACAGTCAGTGAGGAAGGTAGGTTTGTATGGTGTGGGTCCTCCACTGGTAGTCGCACCGCTGGGTGGCCGTAGAAACGTGGCCTGCCCGTATGTAAACATAGGTCACCGTCGTGTAGACATGCCAAATAAGGATCCAGTGGCACATGAAACTTCCTAACGCCCAGGGGCAGATCCCAACCATCTTCTTCAGTCCGTAGGTCGATACAGTGTCGAAGCGTACTCTCCTCACGCATCGTCCACTGTAGCGGTCTGGTGTCTTGGAATGTGCCCATGGATAAACCCCGCGGAACACCGCCCTCTAAAAGGGCACAAAGTTCGGGAAATCTAACGCGAACTTGCTGGAACAACGAGGCGGCAAGCATTTTGTTCAGGGCCCTGGGGAAAACTTGTGCTGGTGCTGTATCTGGCCATCCACCGTGTCGCCATCCACTGTGCTCGCAAGGGCGAGCCGGGCTCTCGCGCACCCCCCTCCTTCGCTGTCTTTCTCGTCCTCGCCCTCCTCCTCCTCCTCCTCCTCCTCCTGACCCACTGACCCACTGACCCACTGATGGCGAGAAAGCCATCCTGACGTAGCCATCCCTCCTCCTCCTCCTCCTCCTTTCCTCCTCTCCTGCTCCTCCTCCTCCCTCCTCCTCCCTCCTCCTCCCTCCTCCTTCTTCTCCTCCTCCTCCTCCTCCTCCTCCTCCTCCTCCTCCTCCTCCTCCTCCTCCTCCCTTCCCCTCTTCCCTCCACCCCACGGCGGCGCGCAGGACTTCGAGGGAGGAAGAGCCACCCGGGGGCTTCGCCTGGGGGGTGCTTACCTATTCTACCTTTCATTATTCCCAGCTCTCCTGCGTTGGGATCTCGTTTTGAATAGAGCACTGCTCGCGCGAGCCTTCCTTCCCACCTTCCTTCCTTCCCGTCCCTCTCTTCCCCCCTGCCCCCCTGCCTTTGACCTCGCCGTCCCGGGGGGGCTGCGATCGGTGAAACTGTCGCCACTTTCGAGGGCTGCTGAGGGGCCCAGCACAGTGGGTACACACCGCAGACTCAAATTAGACCTCGCCGTCCCTGGGGGGCTGCGATCGGTGAAACTGTCGCCACTTTCGAGGGCTGCTGAGGGGCCCAGCACAGTGGGTACACACCGCAGACTCAAATTAGACCTCGCCGTCCCTGGGGGGCTGCGATCTGTGAAACTGTCGCCACTTTCGAGGGCTGCTGAGGGCCCAGCACAGTGGGTACTCACCGCAGACTCAAATTAGACCTCGCCATCCCTGGGGGGCTGCGATCTGTGAAACTGTCGCCACTTTCGAGGGCTGCTGAGGGGCCCAGCACAGTGGGTACCCACCGCAGACTCAAATTAGACCTCGCCATCCCTGGGGGGCTGCGATCTGTGAAACTGTCGCCACTTTCGAGGCCTGCTGGGGGGCCCAGCACAGTGGGTACACACCGCGGACTCAAATTAGACCTCGCCATCCCTGGGGGGCTGCGATCTGTGAAACTGTCGCCACTTTCGATCTGTTTGTCGACCATCCCTGGGGGGCTGCGATCTGTGAAACTGTCGCCACTTTCGGGCTGCTGGGGGGCCAGCACAGTGGGTACACACCGCAGACTCAAATTAGACCTCGCCATCCCTGGGGGGCTGCGATCTGTGAAACTGTCGCCACTTTCGAGGGCTGCTGAGGGGCCCAGCACAGTGGGTACACACCGCAGACTCAAATTAGACCGCGCCATCCCTGGGGGGCTGCGATCTGTGAAACTGTCGCCACTTTCGAGGGCTGCTGATGGGCCCAGCACAGTGGGTACACACCGCAGACTCAAATTAGACGCCGCTTTTGTCCTTGTTCTCCTCCTGCAGTCACCTTCCCTCTGCTGCTGCCGTGCTGATGGTTCGGCTTCCCGCACGTGTTTCTCCTGCTTTGCGTTCCCGACTCCCCATGTCCTCTTCGAGCCTGTAGCTGTCGCCCCTCGTTCTTGTATGGTTCTCCTTCGCATCATGCCATAGCCGCGTGTCCCAAGTAGCTTACACATCAAGTTGATTGTCCATGCAAGTTTCGGCCAGCTCCTCGTTTCCATTGATACAAATGGGTTGGGTACGTCACAGGGTAATTTTTCCTTTGTTTAGGCCTTTTGTGCGTCCCTCGCCGCCTTTCCCTCGTTTTCCCTTTTTTCGGCCTCCTGGGCGGTCCTCGTCGCCACCGCTGGGTTCGCCTCAGAATGGTAGTCAGAACGCGCCCCGGAGAGGTCCGTGGGGTAGCGGTATCGGTACCTTTTGTGTTCCGTAGGTGGGGACTATTATCAAAGAAGTCGGTCTTTCGTAGTCTTCGGCGTTTGGGAGCCCTCGCGGGTGCCTGGGACCGTCAAGCAATTAGTCATCATAACTCACGGTCCTCGGGAATGGGTCGAGGCTTCCTGGGACCGCGCACTGAAGTTTCCAAAGGCGTGCCCAACCCGTTCTCCACGCGAGGCGAATGTTTGCGTGATCGCTCCGCACGAAGGAACACATCGTCAGATATGCACGATCTGCGTTGCCCTCACCTCCGCCGTGCCTTCCATTAGCCTACGAAAGTGGATACCCTTGCGCATTTCGCAGCCTCCCAGGGAGCCGCGGGCTCTCGGCTGGATCTGTGTGGCCCCCGGCTCTGCTGGACCTCCCAGGAGCCAGCGAAAGCGGCGGCAAAATGGCGACAAGTTTAAGTCGGGCGTGTCACTCTACAGGAGGAAGATTCAAACATAGCAAAAAAAGATAGTCTGCGGACGATTTTTCGATTTGTTCAAACGAGGCAGTGTGGAGGCCTCTTGGGGGTCGTTTTGGGGCTTGTTGGGGCCTCTTTTGGGTCTCTTGTTGGCCTTTTGGGGCCTCTCTGAGGCTCTCTTGGGGGTCTCTTGTGGGCCTTTTGGGGGCGTCTTGAGCGCCTCTTGGGGTGTCCTGGGGATCTCTTGGGGCGGAAGGCTCGGATTTTCGGTTCATGTTCCCTCTCTTGGGCCACTTTTGTGGCCGTCTTGGAGCCCTCTTGGGCCGTCTTGGGTGCCCCTTGAGCCGTGTTGGGGCGCTCTGAGGCCGTCTTGGGGCCCTCTTTGGAGGTCGGGCTGTTTTAGGTGCCGAAAGGGGCGAGAACGCCAAAATCCTTCAAAAACTCAAGGCAAGTCAATCATGTTTACCTCTTGGGGCCCTCTTGGGAGGCCTCTTGGGGGCCTCTCGGGACGTCCTTGAGGCCTCTTGGGGCCATCTGGGGGCCATCTGGGGCCATCTGGGGGCCTCTCGGGCAATCTTGGGGCCGTCTGGGGCGTCTTGGAACGATTCTTCAGCGACTCGGGGACCTCTTGGACCGGACCGTCTTGGGGGCCTCGTGGGGCCCTCTTGGCCCGTCTTTGGCCCCCTTGGGCCCGAGAGGTGCGTGCGAGAACACCTCCCGGAGCCCAGGGGGGCACGCGGCAAGCCCCAAGAGAGTTCGGGAATTTGGTTCGGTGCCCCTTCCAGATTCCTCAGGACTGAGGACTGAAGCTCTGGGGACTGGGCAAAGGACCTGAGGACACGCCCACTCTGTGCCCAGAGGTGGCGGATGCAGAACAAGACCTTAACGCAGGAGGGTCAGGACAAATCAAGACATCGGATGTGTTGGGCGCGTCGCTCCGCCGGTTCTGGCCCACCACGCTTCGGCACGACGCGCTGTCCATTTCCCAGTCCCCAGGCTTCAGCGTCCCGAGCCTTTTTCCGAGCCTCCCGCCCCGCGGAGCGGAGCGACACGCTGTCCACTTGCAAGGCACAGCGTCTCGCTGGGGCCGCCGCGGTGACACGCTATCCAGAAGTTGCCGACCGCTATCTGAAAGTGGTGGAGGGGTGGCTTTTCTGCCCTGTCGCCCATTGATCGCCGATAGGGGAACGATAGCCCACCCCGCCCAGGAACGTAGGGTTTCGCTACCGGGGGGCCATATGCAGGAGGGGTGGGCGCCACGGCGGCGGGGCCCCCTCCTGGCCCTGTGAGGGTCCCTTCCTTGGAAGGCGCCCCAGCCCTCTCCTGGGAGACTCCCTCCTCCTTTCCTCCTCCTCCTCCTCCTCCTCCTCCTCCTCCTCCTCCTTTCCTCCTCCTCCTCCTCCTCCTCCTTTCCTCCTCCTCCTCCTCCTCCTCCTCCTCCTTCTCCTCCTCCTCCTCCTCCTCCTCCCTTCCTCCTCCTCCTCCTCCTCCTCCTCCTCCTCCTCCTTCTTTCCTTCTCCTCCTCCTCCTCCTCCTCCTATTCCTCCTCCTCCTCCTCCTCGGAAGACGGCCTCCCGTCGCCCGGCCTCCTCCGTCGGCGCGCCGCCAGATCGTCGCCGCGTCGGCCCCCGCCCCCTGCCCGGCGCGCCGTGCGCGGGCCTGGCGGGGCATGACGAGCGTGCTGGTGCACCTGCTGCGGCTTCCGACCGACGACCCCGCCCTCGCGCACTTCGCGGCCGCCGCGGTGCTGAGGCACCAGGAGCTCCGCGGCGGGGCGTGCTGGTCCAACGAGGAGATGGACGAGCAGCGCGCCCTGGTGCTGCGAGCCTCGGCCTCCCACGAGCACGGGCCTGCGGGTCCAGAGGCCCCGGGCGCGGTGTCCGAGAGGCTGGCGAACAGATTCATCTGCGGGCAGATGCTGGACGCCGCCCAGAAGCAGGAGCCCATCCCGGACCGCGACGCCCTCGTCATGAAGGCCGCGGAGTTCCTTTTCTGCCAGAGCTTCTCGTGCGTCCGGGAGGTCGAGATGGCCATGGCTAGAGAAATGGCTGGCATCTGAGAGGCGCAGGGCCAGCCGGAATCGTCCGCGCACTGCCGTAGGCACGCCGACCCTAGCTTGCGATCTAGGCCTCCCAGGTGAGGTCGGCGTAGACTGGGTCAGAGGATCGCGACGCAAAGCCGATGCATCGATCATGCGGCTCGATGTGGAGCACGATGTTTTCCACGTCGACGTCGCCAGTGCATCCGCAATGTGGCGCGATCCTCCGACCCCATGTGCGCGGACCTCATCTAGGAGGCCTTTGTGCAAGGCTCTTCTGTAGGATGCTCGGACTGGAGGCACCAGAGGAGACACAGAGACCGCCGCCACCGAGAACCCCTCGGGGAGGGACGCACCCCTGGGCGGTGGCACGCCTGTGCGTCGTCTGGTGCTGGGTGGCGCTCGGGCGTACCACCGTCCATGAGTCGCCCCCCCCCAGGGGGTTCTCGGTGGCGGTGGTCTGTGCTTCTCCTCTGGGGGGATGCCATAGCCAATCGCGTTTTGAATCGATGCCGCAGCCCCTTCGCCATGACTCGCTGCAGCGAGCGAGGTGGGAAACGAGAAGGAGAGGGCCTTCTCAGAGGGCGGGGGGGCTTCTCCGAAGCCCTCGCGCCTTGCGAGAAGTTCTCCGTGTCTTCGGCGAGGGCTCAAGACGCTTTCGGAGGGCCGGGGGAGCTCCGAGCCTTCTGAGCAGGCCCGCCCCTGCTCACCTCCCCCTGGGGCTCGCCGCCGGGAACTGCTGGCCGCCCGCCTTGGGCCGACGAGGCAGCACTCGGAGGGCACCAACTATACACCAACACCGATCCTGGCCCAGGATCGCCCTGGGCCCAGGATCGGTGTATATGCCCTCTTGCGCAGGGCAGAGTGCGTATACACCGATCCTGGGCCCAGGGTGATCCTGGCCAGGATCGGTGTTGGTGTATAGTTGGTGCCTTCCTAAGCACACTCCTGGAGTCCAGCCGGCGGCTCGGCCCGCTGAGCGGTGCGATGCCACGCTCAGCGGTGCGGCTCGGCGGGCGGGGCCAGGGCGAGGACAGCGCCGCCGCGCTCCGCCCAAAGAGGAGGAGGAGGAGGAGGAGGAGGAGGAGGAGGAGGAGGAGCAGGACGGGACCAGAGCGTTCTGGATTGCTCTCGGAGCGTTCTGGAACTTCCTGAGAAGGCCGCGGCGCCTGAGGCCTTCGATGCTCTTAAGAACGTTTGGGGCAGTTGTTGTCCGTTTTCGAGATCGCCGTTGTTGATTTGTTCGTGTTTGACGCCCCCAGCGTCTTCAAGAACAGTTCAGCCCGAGGCATCATCCAGTGCCGCTGGATCTCAGAGATCCTCGATTTGTCCTCACCCGATGTTATCCTCGCCCTGGCTTCGTTCTATCCCGAGAGGTCTCGACCCCTTCCCGGGGTCTGGCTCTTCACCCCGAGTCGCTGTTGGACGCTCTCGGGGCCCGGCAAAGGCCCCGAGAGGCCGACAAAAATGGCGAAGCACCTCCCGTCGTGAATTTGCCATGACTCGAGGGGATCCTCCATTTATCCCCACCCGGATTCCTGCTCACCCGACTTAGTCCTCGACCTTCGGGACGATCGGAATGAGTACGGAAAGAATGGGTATGATGCCCAACAGCAGCTCTTGCTCATTCTGAACAGCACTCGCTGTCCGCGCCGCCGCGGACGCTGTTCATCGAGGACGAGGAGCCGCCTGCCCATCAGCGGCCGCTGTCGGCTCGGGACGGCATTCGGTGTTGGGCGTTCTGCTCTGCCCGTTTTCGTCCGAGCCTCGCCTTCGCCTTCGCCGCCTCCTCGTCTTCGTCCTCTTCGTCATCCTCCGCCTCGCCCTCCTCGGGCGTCCAAACGTTTTCGTCCGTGCCTCGCCTTCGCCTTCGCCGCCTCCTCGTCTTCGTCCTCTTCGCCATCCTCCGCCTCGCCCTCCTCGGGCGTCCAAACGTCCTGGCCTCGCCTTCGCTCGGCGCCCGCGCCTGTGGGCCCGGCTGCCCGCCTCCGCCCGGCGCCCGCGCGCGCGCGCGCTCGGGCAGACAGGGGTGGCGGCGCCTCGGCTGCCGGCCTGCCAGGCTCCTCCTCCCTCGGCCCTCCTGGCGTGCCCTCCTGGAATCTGGACGCCCGGAATGGGTACGGAAAGAGTGGGTACAATGCCCAACAGCAGTTCCTGTTCATTTTGAACAGGATTCGCTGTCCACGCCGCCGCGGCCTGTGTCCATTTCAGACAGGAGGCCGCCTGCCCAACAGCGGCCGCTGTTGGTTCGGGACAACATTTGCTGTTGGGCATTGTTCCCATTCTTTCCGTACCCATTCCGGGCGTCCAAATGGAAGGACGGGGATGCCGGACCCCCCTCGCGTTGTGACAAACGCACCGCGGCGGGAGGCTTGTCGCTGTTTTCGGCTCTCGGGGGCCCTCGCCAGGCCTCGGGGCCGTCCACAAACGACTCAGGACTCAGGATGAAAAACGGGTCCCGGGGAAGGGGCCGAGACCTGTGGGGGTCGACGTTGTGAAAAAACACGACGTCGGGGGGTCTGGGATCCGAGCGAGGAGAGAGAGAATTCGAGATGCTCAGTCCAAAGGACAGTTCTGCGGATGCTCCTGAGCCCCCTCCCCCTGGTGCAGTTCCCTCAGCCTTGATTCGTGTTTCAGTTGGCGCTGGGATCATTTAGTGCTGTGCGCTCCGACTTTACTATGGGCATTCCATTCCATTCCTGGAAGGGCAAGCCGCCCAGTGGCCCCCCTGGGGGCGGGCTCTAGGGCGGCAGGGGGGGGATAGCACCGGTGCGGACGGAACGGCAGTGCTCCAGCCAAGACGCTGAAATGAGGTCCCGTTTTGGTTCGGAGTGGCCTCGCTGATCCTTGGGCCCTTCCTTGGTTGCTCCTTCAGCGCTCGTCGTGAGGCAGGAATGCGGATCATTTCTCCTCATTGCTCCTCCACTATCATCCTGACCCCATCGCTGGCTCGGACTTCAGCTCCGATCTCCGTTGCAACGCTGGCTCAGGCTCCCACTCCATCGGACTCCAGCTTCGACCCACCTTCCTCTCCACTGCGACTCACAACAACACGACTCCTACCGTCAACACCGGTCCGGCTATTATTCCCACTCCAGATTTCACTGCGACCTCGCTCCCCACCCGAGGGTGCAGTGGCATCCCCCGAACCACCCCTGCGTACCTCCGATTCTTTCTCCACCTGCAGCCCCATCAGGCATGAAACTCGTCCATCGTAAGCATGACGTTTGGCATCAGCCTTGACACCACCACCGGCGTCAGCACCGACACTACCTGGCGACCCCAGCAGAGAACCTCCAGCCCGGAGACAGGGAGGCCGCCAGGAGGAGGAGGAGGAGGAGGAGGAAGAGTAGGAGGAGGAGGAGGAGGAGGAGGAGGAAAGAGGGAGGAGGAGAAGGAGGAGGAGGAGGAGGAGGAGGAGGAGGAGCGAGGAGGATCAAGGAGGAGGAGGAGGAGGAGGAGGAACCCGAAGACAGAGGGAGGCCCAGAGCACGGGAGTCCCAGACCCCGAACCAATGCTGGAGCCGCAAAAAGCTGTCCCCGGTTGGCCTGCCCGCCTCGCCGGGCGGCCCCGCCGCTTCTCGGCCTGCCGCCGAGGCGGAGTCGAGCACCACGTTTCAGTCGGGCGTGTCCTCCTCCTCCTCCTCCTCCTCCTCCTCCTCCTCCTCCTCCATTCCCTATCCTTACAAATAGCTACTTCCTGTCGCACCCCCCGAGGTCTCCGTAGGGCGGGCTGGGCGTCTCGCCTCAGGCGTCTTGACCACTCATAGCCATGAAGCTTGAACGTTTGCACCAGTTTCAACGATGGAGTGAGGCTCATTTTCAAAATGCGACCCTTGCTTTCCTTTTCAACGAGGAAGCGTGTCACTCTACAGGAGGAACATTCAAAAATAGTAAACAATACTCTGGGGACGTTTTTTTCTGTGTATGTTTGATCCTGTTTCGTCCACGAACCTTCTGTAGGAGGACAGGCCCGACTTAAAACTGCGTCGGCTTCCGGCACCAGGGCATCGACCCCCCACACGCCTTGCGCCACCTGCGACCCCGACATCCATCGAAGAAACGCTACACAAACACAAACTTTTGGCGCTCCGCGCGGATTTCTTGGATCCGCGCTGAGCCCCCCACGGCGGCGCCTCCGGCGCCGCCCCTGGCGCGCTCCGCCCGCCAGGGAGGGGGGGGCCCAGGGCAGATGCAAGACATCCGCGCAGAGTGCCACAAGTTTATGTTCATGGCGCTTATTCTTCCTCTAATCCACTCGCATGTGGCACGGGGGACCCCAGCAGCACGGCACCGAGCATCACGACGGGCTTCCGCAGTGCGACGTTGGGCAGCGCGCTGGACAGCACGACGGGTTGCCGCAGCACCATGTGTTCCCGCAGTACAGCGCTGGACAGCGCGACGGCGACCCGCATCCTGGGATGACATCCGCTCGTGCATGGCGCGACGGATTCTAGCAGCGCGACGCTCAGCAGCACGTCGGCGCGACGCTCCCGCGGTACGGCGCTCGACTCTGATATCCGCCCGTGCGCCATAGCACTTAGATTCCAGAATTCCGACACTGCGCAGCATGACGGGCATACGAGGCATAACGACGCTGAACAGCACGACGACGCGCAGCACCCTCGAAGAGAAGATTCAATCGTGCGCAATATGACGGGGATCACGAGCAAGGCATTCATCAGCACGACGGGTTCCTGCATTGGGACATTGGACAGCCCCGCCAGAGCGCAACAGCCTCGATTCCAACATCCACTCGGGCGCAGCGCGACTGACCGGAATACCTTGCGCAGCACGACTAGCCTTTGCGGTGCGACAGAACAGCTGCAATATCCACATGTGGGAACTTCCACGGTCACCAGCAACACGACCCGCAAACGGCACCTCAGGGATTTAGGGACCAGCATCATACATTGGTCTCAAGCAGGCGTTGTCCACTCGTTGACGCAACAGATTACCGTAGTGACGGTCTTGACCGCGACGGCCACATGGACGACGACGACGGTGGTTCGCAGGACGGCCACCGGCAGCACGACGATGGGCAACAGCAGCACGAGGACGATGAGGCTGGC